GGGAAATGGAGTGAATACTCAAGTCGCCAACCACAAGAAATCACGATACATGTGCACTGCTTTCACGTAGGCAGTTGAGTGTCTCCGCTCAATTCAGTCACTCGTAGACGTCACATGTATGATCCCGCCGGCGCCAACCACTGTGCTCCATTTCCCACTACCACATTGTCACTCAGGCCCCCATTGTAACCCTCCAGCGCCCCCTACCTACCCATGGGTGTCGGCTAGAGGACACGATAGGCGGCGGCGGCTACTGAATCTCGTGTATCACTAGCAGTGGTTGGCGACTTCGGGGCAGGTGCAGCGCCTGTCTCGGTGGCCGTAACTTCTGGCGTGACTTCTCATTCGCCGTGGTCCTTTGTCGTGACCTCTCGTGCTCCGTGACCTCTTGAGTGATCTCTCATTCGCGGTAACCTATCCGTGCTCCCTGACCTCTGAAGTGACTCGTTCGTGCCCCGACAGGTGGCGTTTGTGTCTGGTGGCGGTACCGGCCTCGGGAAGAGTATGACCACGATGCTGAGCCAGCTGGGCGCAAGCGTCTGTATCATGAGTCGGTGAGTAACGGGTCTGAGGAGTCGGGTAACGAGTCATGAGTCGGTATGTGAGAGTCTGAATTCTGAGTAATAGCATCAGCATCTTGACACCCACCTCGTACAGCCCACCGCTAAAGTAATGTAGGGTTTTACCAATCTCAACGGTTGGCTTTGACTGGCGATTGTTTAATGTGGAGTGATCGAAAAGAAGATGTCAATAGCTAAAGTTGCAGCTGCAAGGGTGACGATACATATAAGCTACATTCAAAGTTTCATTGTAGTCTGGTTAATCGTTCCTAAGCTTCAGCAGCAGAACATACCCATGACTGAAACCCCACATTACTTCTGCTGTGGACTGTACCTCTCTTCTCCTTTCCCGTCAGCGGTCAGAAGGTACTCTTCCCATTGAATGACCCTCCCCTTTCTCCCTGATAGCCATCAGAATCAGATATAACCCCTCCACCCGTCTCTGACCCTCCCTTCCAGCCGTCAGATAGTGCCCCTCCCCTCCTCTGACCAGCCCCTCTGTCGTCTGACTGACTGACCCCCTCCCCTCCAGCCGTCAGCGGTCAGATAGTGCCCCCTCCCTCCTCTGACCTCTCCTCCGTCGTCTGACCCCTTCCCACCGGGCTCAGCCGTCAGAAAGTTCTGGACGACACGGCGGCGGAGGTGAGCGCGCTCACCGGTAACCGAGTGCTCCCCGTGTCAGCCGACGTGCGGGATCCGGCCGCCGTCACAGCCGCCGTGGACGCCTGCGCCGATCAGCTGGGGCTGCCCGACATTCTCATCAACAACGCCGCCGGGAACTTCATATCGCCAACAGAACGGTGGGGGACGGGGAGGGGCAGCGTAGAGGGACGGGAGGGAGCGCTGGAAGGGCCAGGGTTTTACTGAAGGAAAGCGAATGTGACATCTTGTCTGTCTCATGGGTGAGGTCAAAGTTGAAATCCGTAGTGTGATTTGTGTCCTCGGAGCTCATGTATTATGTTTGCTTGAACTTTAACTGTTTGCTGATCAACATTTAACACATCACAAAAAGCAACCACTTAGCTTTCACATATCAACGCTAATTCTTCAGTCTGTGGTAACTAACTAGTAAGAAAACGTTGCTTCCCGCGCAGCTTTCATGTTTCATATTTCACAAATCACGCAGCATTCCATGTTACTGTAATTATACTCATCCCTCGCTCAACGACCTGACCTCTCTGGCCTTCACCCCTGACGGGCTCTCGGCCAACGACCTGACCTCTAACCCTCCGCCCCCTGACGGCTGACAGCCTCTCGGCCAACGCCTGGCGGACCATCGTCGACATCGTGCTGAACGGCACCGCCTTCCTGACGATGGACGTGGGGAAGCGCTGGATCGCCGCTGGACGCGGCGGCGTCATGCTGAACATCACCACCACCTACACCCGCACGGGATCCGGCTTCGTGGCGCCCAGCTGCTCGGCAAAGGCCGGCGTCGAGGCGCTCACACAGTGGGTACTGGGTGGGGATTGCATTGGGGGCTGGTTGGTGATGGATAGCTTGCTGCGTGATCTTGTTGAATTCGTGTCAAACTATGCGTTCTCCTCTTTTTCTAAGAGAAGTCTAGGCAATTTGTCCATACGAGTAAAACAATTCATTGTCATAGTTTCACGTTATATGGCGCACGTGATATCACAGGAGGATGTTATTTGCCTTTGTAACAGATGAGATCCCGGTGTCGATATGGTCGTATCGTTTCATGTGTCCCAATTGCTACACTGCAAAAACCGCCTGTAATAGATGTTAGGTACTTTTCCATAATGTTCATCACTGTGAGCCGTCACTATCCTGTAGTAGTGGGGCGGATAAGCCACCACCCTTTCACAATGCACTGCTCTGTGTAACTGAACCTTCCCTGACAGAACCCTGGCAGCTGAGTGGGGACGATACGGTATCAGGATCAACTGTATCGCGCCGGGCCCGATCGAGACCGAGGGCGCCTTCTCCCGGCTGGACCCGAGCGGACAGTGAGTGAGGCGGGCTGGGCATCCGCTACCTGTAGACACAGGGCGCGGAGAGTCCACACGGGTGTTTAGAAGAACATCCCCTTCAGTTGGCCAGACGGGTTTATAATATATCAACGGTAGGTTGGTTAGATGATCTGTGGCATTGAACGCATCCGTGTTTTTGCTGTTTGCATGTGGATGCAGGATTTTGCGATGCATGGCTTTACCGGTCTTGCTCACGGTGTACCGATTTACAGATAGCCATGCACCCGTTCCTAGAGGTCGAGTTCCATTGTCGTTTTTACACGGTGTTGTGCAAATTATGGGCTTACCAGTTACCACCACACCCGCGTCCGAATTTCCCACTAATCCTATATGAACTCACCGCCCCATCTCTCCTAAACCCCTCCTTTCCCCATCCAGCCGGTCTCGAGTCATTGCCGCTGCTCCAGGCACCTCCTCGGTCCGTCATCTCCATCCTCGGGATACTCCATGAACGGGCAACTGTATCCCACGCGGGTAACTCCACCCCAGTGACCGTTAGGGGGCTGGGTGACCTGTCCACTGGATGGGCTCAGCTCGGCGACTCACCAGGGTGCTCTCTCAGACCAATATCTCCCCTTAATTCCTATCATTCTTTGGGCTATGAAATGATCTCGTTAGAACGAAAGGGCCTAATCCAATAAAAAAGCAAACCCAATTGCTGGACGGTATGAAGGTCATCCCGGCGGGCCGGAGGGGCTGTCTGTGTTACTGTCCTCACTCCTCTCCCTCTGACTGTCGCTCTGGCCTCTCCCTCTCCGCCGCAGGTTCCGTAAGGTCGGTATGAAGGCGATCCCGGCGGGCCGGATGGCCTGTCTGTGTTACTGTCCCTCTCTTTACACCCCACACTTACTGTCCCGTTTTGTCGCAGGTTCCGTAAGGTCGGTATGAAGGCGATCCCGGCGGGCCGGTTCGGCGAGCCCGAGGAGCTTACCAACCTGGCCACCTTTCTGGTCAGCGACTACTCCAACTGGATCAGCGGGGAGGTAAGAAGGGAGGAAGAGAGATGAGAAGGGTGGAGAGGAGGTGAGAAGGGTGGACGGGAGATGAGAAGGGTGGGTAGGAGGGCAGAGGAAGGGTGGGTAGTCGCGCCTGGCGACCATGCTAGCTGGCACTCTGCCGTTGTGCTTCAACCGCGCAATCACGTGCTGTATTAGCCGTCCTTGGCTCTATGTCAATTCTCGGCAGTAATATGTGAACACCCAACAACCCTGTGTGCTTCTAATTTCTATCATGACTTAACTATTTGCGTCTGACGATGTTCTGGTAGAGTATGACACGGACTTTGTTTCGGGATCACTTGACCCTTGTATTCACTTCCGGCGCTATGACCCCGCTCAACCCGTTACCCAGACCCCGTCGGCCAGTGTTCTGGCCTTCCCAATGCCCAGATCAGAATCGGGCTCAGCACCGGCACCATACTTGGCCAAAAAAAAAAATAATAAAAAAATAACACCTCGCATAAGCCGAGCCCCACCCCCAGACGCGATAATAGCTCGAAATCTACCCCAATCCCGCACTGACAACCCCTCCCTCCGCTGTGCGTTTTCAGAGCGTGGCCATTGACGGCGGCGGACTGCCGTTCCGCGGCGGAGAGTTCAACCAACTGGTGCGCGTGACACCCGAACAGTGGGACATGATGGAGCAGATGATCCGCGCCACCAACAAAAAGTCCAAACTGTGAGACCGGCAGCTCCGCCGGGGGTCGGATCGCGGCAGGTCAGCTCAGTGTTCCCCTGTGGCAAATGTTGCTGTGTGGCCGTAATAACAGCCAGGGAGGCGGAAATGTCTGCAGTCAGCGCTGGCAGACATAGACAGCGCGAGCAAGAGGGAACTACGACAGGAATAACAATGCAATTATGTGGTGAGTGGTGTGATGTGGAGGTTTATCACGCGGTTTGGTGTGGATCGACGACGTATATTAGGGGTCTTAGGGGAGTGAGAGTGGAGAATGCTGAGATGCAAATGAAGATATTGAGTGATACAACAATGTGCTAATCGTGGTGCTCCTATTTGACGAATACCCGTGCGTTTTGGTACTGCGCAGGTCGCGTATTACATTGAATAAAACGTTTATACCTGCGTACTTGGGAAGCGCGACACTATCATCGGCCGGCAAGTTCCGTGCTGTTTTGATCAACACATACAGTCTGTGAATAGTGTCACCAAATAATACATCGACCATGAACTACCCGGCGTTTCTTCGCTCCAGAGTCAACGACACTATTTGGGCTCTGCGCACAACGAGTTGTATCGCAGCTTAGCAAGATTCATCCTGATTTAATTCCGGGTTCAAATCTCCCCAAAGCTCAATTCTTCCCCCGGTTCAGAGTTTTAAAAGGCTGGAATCCCCACCAGTGGAGGTGACCACATGAACCCAGGTAACACCTTGGGTAACACAGATCCGCCGACTTTCTACCAACAGTCGCTGCACCACCATCAAACACAACTCTACAAGGTTACAACATGTCTTGGCTGAACAATTCGAACACTGACGCATCTCACAGACACCTACACAAACACGCATACAAAACAGCACAGCACTGAGGCCGACCGTACAAAACACCGCGACAACAGATACACAGGAGCTGCTCTGTCGGTCAGCCCGTCTCACAAGCTCGGCGCGGAGCGAAACAGTGGCACTAAGAACGGGCGGGCGTCACTGAGAAATACGAGTGAGGGCCTCACGTGCCTCAAGACCCCCGCTGGGAGATGCATGTTGAGTGACGTGTATGTACTAAAGAACAAAACATGAGATACTGACCTGGGATTCAGAGTTACAACTGTGCGATGGCGAGCGGGTATAGCTAGCTACCACGGCGGCGCATCGTCTCACCAAGAAACGTCGATTCGATCGGGTCAGCGGTAAGACGACTTATACCTCTGGGTACAGAGACAGGATATTTACAGACACACTTCCACACCGACCAACTCCGAGTCTCAGCGAACTTGTGGCCACAGCGAAACCACAGCTGCGAGGCCCGGTGGCCCGACACTACAATGTGATATCCAACGCTCCCTCCGCCATCCCATGTCCAAACGTCCATACAAAACTCTTGAGTTATTGCCTCAGCAAAGGTGATAAAGCGTCTAATGCAAAAAGGTCGTCAAAGCGTACTGCCGTGGAAAAGGCACATCTTTAATAGCGCAAAACGTAGCAAACTTTGCATACTAAATCGCAACAACGGAACGAATGCAGTAACAAAGCGATGGGCCCGAAAACTGTGCTGAAACGAACAGTATTTGCGAGCCTCATATGGCAGGTGCACTTAAGTCTGAGCTCCGATAGTCAACTCCGCGGCCTGTGCGCTTCGACCCTGTGCACTGGATCTGAACAGGCAACAATACGCTCCCACACGGATGTCCACAGCCACTCACTAAACTCATTGGTAGAGCGAGTGAGAACTCACTTGGCTTGTCTGCTGACTCACTGTCGCAGTGAGAACGCCTCTCCCAGATGGAAGAACGCCACGGGCCGCGGGCTGGGCCCCATCTTGGTGATACCCTGCACGCTGACCACTGGCAGGCCGAGCTGGCCGCGGTTCTCGCCCAGTTTGGAGACCGGTAGGAAGCCGCACACACCCAGCGCGTCCAGCCGCGCCGCGTTCGCCACACTGAGGTCAAACACAGGCACCACCAGCTGAGCGGGCGCGCCGGGCCGCGCGCCGGCCGCCCCGCCGCCGCGCCGCCTCTGGTTCAGCGGCGGCCGCACAGGCGACGGGTGACGCGGCCGCGGCTGGGGCCCCGGCGGCGGCGGCGGCAGCTTGTGGCCCTGCGACACGTGAGCGGTGGCCTCGTGCTGGTTGCGCGCCGCCGCTGAGGTGTACTGGCGTCGACAGTAGCGGCAGAGGAACGAGCCGGGCGGCGAGGGCACGGCGAACTGGCCCCTGCCGACGCCGGCCGCACCGGCGGCGGTCGGGCTGACGCCGCGGCCCGTGCCCACGGCCGCGTACTGACCGACGCCCTGAGGAGCGACCATCCGCGGCCGTTTGGCCGGCGGTGCCATGGGTGCGCGGGGCGCGCCGGCCGGCTGCGGCTGCCGCGGCCGCGGCGCCTGCCACTGTCCTCCGCCGTGTACCGTGTTCAGGTGATGCTGCAGCTCGGCCGCCGTGGTCGGCCAGAAGGAGCAGATGCGGCAGGGCAGCGGTCGGCCGTGATAGACTGCCGCGTGCTGCTGCGCGGCGGCCGCGTCTGGCAGCGGCACTCCGCACTGCTGGCACACGGCTGAGGTTCCGGCCGCCGGCGGCAGCGGCTGACCCGTCCCCGCTGTCGGCGGAGCGGGCGGCTTGGGTCCGAAGCTGGCCGGCCGCGGCGCCTCCGGGCTGACGGCCGCCGGGTGCGCGGCCAGCGGTGTGACCATGGCGGCGGCCGGCGGACGCGAGGCCTCGATCGGGATCAGGTGCGGCAGCAGGGTGGACGGCGACCGCACGGAGCCGCCTTCCGGCTGACCGGGGCTGACGGACGGCACGGCTCCGGCGGCGCCATTCCGCCGGATTACTGACGTCGGTGCGCCGCCTCCCTCCGGCTGCGTCCCCGCGGCAGCCGAGGCCGGCGGCGGGGCCCAGCGGCCGTCGGTAGTCGCCTGTGCCGGCGGGCGGCCGAGCATTGGAGAGCCAGGCTGTGGCGCTGGCGGCCGCTCGGAGCCCGGAGCCGCCTGGGAAGACGGCAGGGGAGAGGACTGAACGACCGGCTGCGCGACAGGAGGCGGGTGGGTCGGGGGAATACAACTGCCGGGCTGTGGAACAGAATGTGGGTGGGGCGGCGGGTGGGGAGAGGACTGAGGAACAGAGGACTGCGGGTGAGACACAGGACTGGCTAGCTGCGGGGCAGGAGACTGCGGATGGGGCGACGGATGGCTGGAGTACTGCGGGCCAGGGGATGGCGGTAAATGAGAGGCTTGGCCAGCGGGCTGCGAGGCGGGGACAGGCGAGTGAGACGGGTGCTGACCGGACTGGTTGAAGGACTGGGCAGCAGTAGACACCGGCTGAGGCTGAGGATGAGGATGAGGAGGTTGAACAAGTGGTTGACCGTACCCAGGCTGCGCACCGGGATTATACTGGGAGCTCGTGGAAGCAGCGAATGACGTCTGGGTGGGATAAGGACCGACCGAGGATGAAGGGGTGTTCTGCGCGGTGTGTGAAAAGGCCGGGGGCTGACTGGGTGGCGGATGCGTGTACTGGTGTGAGGAGGTGGTCTGGGGCGCAGTGGAGAAGGCTGGGTAGGCTGACACAGGGGGCGCGACACTGGTCTGAAAACTCTGCTGAGAGTGGGGAGCCGCCCCCGCACTCCCTTGGGCACTGTAAGGAGGAAACGTCTGGGCGTTTCCCTGAACAGTGTGAGTGGGGTATGACGGTACGTTTCCTTGGGCACTCTGCGTAGGGTTCGCCCAGAAGTTTCCTTGGAGGTTTTGCGGAGGATACGCCGGTGTGTTTCCCCGGAAGTTGTTGGGAGAGGACGGAGGCGCGTTGCCCTGCCTGCTGTAAGGAGGGCAGGCTGGTGCGTTACTCTGCCCCCTCTGGGCAGGATAAGGGACGGTGCTGGCGGGGCCGCCCGCTGGGTGAGGGTACACAGCGCCCGGCTGACCCCCTCTAGGACTGCGCGGTGGGGCAGCCGTCCCGCCGGTCACCTGGGCTCGATGTGGGCTCTGCGGTGGCGGCGCTGGGCTGCCTGACGTCCCCGGCTGCCCGCCAGGCTGGGCGGCGACCTGCTGCGCCCCGCTCCAGCACTCCGGCGCTGCGACCAGCGGCGGCTGCTGGGTCCTCTTCCTAGGCGTCCTCGCGCCGCGGCCCCTGCCGGCGGCGCCCTGTCCCCGGGCGGCGCCCCGTCCTCTGCCGCTCTGTCCTCTGCCCCGACCGCCGCCGGCCGGAGTCTCGGCTCCGGTCGGACCCCCGCCGACCTCCACCTGTACCGCGCCGTCTCCGGTCGTCTGACCACCGACCGGGTCACCGTCCGTCACCGCACCGTCCGTCAGCGGCACACCCCCTCCCTCCGCGGCGCCCCGACCCTTCCCGCGGCCCCTCCCGCGACCCCGGCCCCGGCCGCGCCCGCCACTGCGCTCTCTCTTCCTCTCGGGGTCAGCGGGCGGCCGATCCGCGCGCGGCGTGGCTGACCGCGCGCTGCGCTTGCGACTCCGTTTGGGCTTTGGCCATGGCTCGTCGTCGTCGTCGTCGTCGTTGTCGCCACTGAGCGCGTCCGTCCAGAGATCGGCGGCCGCGTGCTGCCAGGCGCTCCACTCCTCGGGAGCGCCGGCGGCGACGCCGTCCAGATCGGCCGACGACGGGTGCACCACCTGGCGGGAGGGATCAGAAACAGCGGCGTCAGGGAGGGCAACTGCGGCGGGAACTACAGTAACTAACTACTGTAGTTGGAGCGTTGATGATTAGCGCGATGTAGGCCAAACAACAAAGTCGAGAAATAGATCACGGCATTTAACGGCGATTATAAATGCGCAATGCGCACTGTCGTGATATAAGGTAAACCTACAGGCTACAGCGCAATGCAATATCTCGAAATGACCACCTGCTAATGCAATGACCAACAGAGCCTCAAGATTCTCTTACGGGCCACCAGGGCGGCTCTGGCGGCGGCGCAGCATTGCGAGCATGTGCATGTGCAATGTGCATGTAAATATCGAATCGTAACGGACTTCAGGTTGAGCAATAAATGCAAAATTAGGGTGACCTTTGGGCAGAACGATTAATGATCAACACGTCGACAAACAATTCATTGCGCTGGTGGGGTGGACACTTCACGTCGAAGTCATAATAACACATTTCGATTATAAACCAATACAATACTTACACCTTTTCTGTCAGGCAGCCACGGCATTCAAGAAAGTTGAAATGATTAGTACGAACACACAGTAACACTATCCACGCTGTCAACCCCCCCCCCCCCCCCCCTCCTCTCCCAAGGCCGAATCAAGCATAAGTCTGGGGAGCACGCCACAGTCCAGGCTCCGCATCGGATAGGGACGGCTTTTATGTACCACCTAAACTTTGCAGGCGCGACTTCTCGCCATTGCAGGGGAGTAGATAACGCTGGGAGTAGATAACACACAGAGGAGGAAACACACAGTGCGCATACAAAGCTGACCATTCCGTAAGCTATCTGACCCGCTCTTCCTGCCCCTCCTACCTCATCTCCATTTCCTATCCAACCTGCCACTGGTCTCACTCTCTTCCTGCCAGCTCACCTGTCCCTCTCTTTCCCTCCACTCCCCCCCCCCCTCTCCGCTCTCTCACCTGGAACTGAGCCGCCGGCTCTGAGCTGTTCCTCCTCAGTGTCAGCCGCAGGCCGGCCGGCGGCGCCGACGCCAGGGGCTCCAGCACCACCACCGGCGACGGACGCGTCAGCACGTGGTGGTACAGGTGGTGCGTGTGGAAGTACGAGAAGCTCGGGAAGCTGTCGATGCCACACAGCACACAGCGCAGCCGCCGGTCCACCTGAGAGACGGAGAGAGAGAGGCGTCAGGCGGCGGTGATGATACTGAAATGATGATGCCGGTTCTCCCGTGGAGCAGTTGTGGGACGGCTATAGGACGGTCCGAGATGGACATGACAGGTGCACTGAACTGAGTAAGCGCAGCTCTTCCTAACAGCCAGAGCGTGGTACTGGATGTGACGCCGGTACTGCACCCACAGCGGTGACGAGAGAATAGTGGCGGCGGCGAGAGGACAGCGGCGGCGCCGGATGCCGGGAGAGCAGCAGTGCGCATGTGACACGCCGTACTTTCTTTCGAACCGAGTTTCATGTAACACGCTGCCCTATCTCCGAGCCGTGTGGGCCGATCGATTCCAATCGATGCGCTTCGCTGCTCCCTATAAAAGCAGCATCGACGCGGACGCGGGGACACTACGCATTCGTTCACTCACGCTGGAGGACTGTCAGTCATTCGCGGTGTGTGATCGTTCGATGTGAGAATCGCCGTCGATACCGGGCTGACTGGTCGGCTTCTTGACCCCCCTGCGACCGACAACTATCATGTAAGTCCGGCAGCGCGTCGCCGGTCATTCGGCGGCATTAGATTCTCCAGCCTATCGAATGCTTTATTTTTGGCCCACTAACATAAAATCTGAATCTGTCAATTGATTCAAATATCTCGGTAAATGGTCACTTACTCGTGGAGTTCAGACTTCTGCATCATTTTTGTGTGCGTACTGTTAACGTCGTCATAAAGAGTTGTGCAAATCTCGTACCACTATAACGCCTTCGCTTGCTCTGAAGTTAGTTTATGTCTGTGTGCATTCACGTGTGTATGACGCGGATAGTGCATGTCAAATATGTCGTGCTCCCACTGCCACCCCTACTCCCTCCTCCTGAAATTAGCACGTAACATACAATATAACCCACTGACGAAACTAGACTATGATGGCGAATGAGGGGCTAAAACGAAAGGGAGATGATCGAAGCGATGGGTTGACGAGGTCGGGTAGATGAGTAGAGTAGAACGGGTTTCAGAAATTGTGGTCTATAATTGGGTAGCAAGGCTAACAAATGATATATCTCGGTCAAATATCAAGGGGAGTGGGTCGATTTGAGCGTTGAGGATCTGGGGGTTGGCCTCTTATTACTTGCTATTTACCTGCAGTCATTAGCTCATACTAACGCTTGGATGACGTCAACTGACAATACCAGATAATTTCAGTAATCAACATCTTGTTTAAAAAAAAAAAAAATCTTCAGAGCTCAGCATGCCATTTGACGGTAGTTTTCCTGTATGCATTCGCAATTATCCGGATAGCTGTTACTTGCTAGTAGGTCTCAGTTCGCTTATTCATCAATTGCAGCTCAAGGAGGTTCAAAATGAAACACCTTCCCAGATTGAAGTAATGATTGAGCGTTCGATGTTTCTGTTTTGTTTTTCGTAGATGACTCGTTAACGGATTAACGTATATTGTCGAGTAATTTAGGGTTCTAAAAATCTGCAACAAGTAGTTCAATGGATTGTGTACAATTATAATTCACTGAGCCAAATCGAAACCGGTATACCATGGTGGCAATAAAATCGTTCAAGTAACCGGCCCTACCGATTTACTGATTTTCCGCGGTTCGAACTAAACATGTTTCGCCACATTCCCTCCTACATTGACGAGAGCCATATTTCATTTTGTACTAGCATACTTTACAATAGCGTGGTACTCAGAAACTTTGCAGTAAGTTCATTATTGATGAATAAAAAAATCAAAGGCTGATTTTAACAGAACTGAAGTAAATAACGAAAAGTAATGAAAACTTGAGTTACAGACCGTAATTACTAACAATCGTGATTACAATCCACGAAACCTCTCAACATGTTACAAACAAGTTACGACAACCTTATAAATTACTAACTATTTCACCAAGAAAACCTTGCAAATTGACAACGAACCCAGAACGCTCTATTATACGAAGTTTCGGAAGTTTAAGCAAACATGTCAAATAATTTCCGCCATAAACTGAAAATCCCCCCTGGTACTACTTTTTCGTAGTTACAATCGTGTGAACGGGCAGCGATGTAAAACAATGAACAATTCTGGCTTAATTATTTATTACTATCATTTAAACTCCTACGTTTCCAACAAAGCAAATTACGCAATGCTGTTAGTCAATTACGCCCTACACACGCATTCAATGTTTTGCGGCTGAACGTTTTGCATTCTATTTCATATAATACGGCATGGTTAAGTGCGGAGTACGTTGATTTCCAACTTTACTATATTTCTCGGTAAAGGCACGTTTTCTAGATGAAACCCAGGCATAGAAAAACGCATGATTAGGAACGGATATAGTGTCTAGTTTTATTACTGGTTAGCTTTCCCTCAAAACGTAATCGCGATGCCCGCTTTAATTTTGTGATGAATTATACCTTCGGTGCAGTGACTCTCAGCAGTGAAATTGATGCCAATGGGGCATTAGGTAGATGTCAATTTATTCTATTGTCAATTTGTTCAGTTGTTCTGGTTGAAGAACCCTCTTATTGTCATTCAGTGTGACTGGTAGATTTGGTTAACTACGTCAATATAACTTTGCCTAATTCAGTAAAACTCCAGACGCGCCGTTCACCCAATTAGTCGCAGCCGCTTAGTTTCGGGGACGCCGTATCATTATCATTTAGTAATGTCCTATACTTGCTTAAGGACTATTCACCTAATTGACATTCAGTGCGTCTGGCACATTTGGTAAACTACGTCAATATCACTCCGCCAAACTCAACAGAATTCCAGGCGCGCCGGTTCGCCTATTTAGCGTCAGCCATTTGGTAGGGGACGCCGCATCGTTATAATTTATGCAAATTGTTAGTGCAGCAGATAACCGAACGATTTTGGGACCAAGTCAATAAGATAAACAATCATTGTCAGTTGGCTCCATTCCTCTATTCAGCGACTAATTTACGGGACAACAATTGTAGTGGTTAAGAGAGACGTAGGTAACGGCCTGGCGTTACACCAGCCGCCCTTACCAGGAAAATAGTTCAGTCGTTACCATTATATCGAATGGGGTAGATTATTACTACTAATTGCCATTATTGGCATCATGCCCCGCACCAGTGAAAGCTGCGACGAGTCCACTTCTAGGACACATGCAATAGTGTATGACGCCTATTTACTGTAAAGTTCTACAGCACCAGCCCAGATCTCCCGACTGCTCTGTGAGCGCTGGGTTTACTGCCCCCATAAATGAGACAGCGACGGCTGGCCATGCGTGGCCGTAATTACCTCTCCATGGAAGCGAGCTGAAGCGTGTTGGTACGGTATACACAATCGACTGGATTACACTTTTCCAATTGTCGGGGAATGAGAAATAAGATATGGGTCTCTCTGTTGGGGTCAGAGCAGCGCATTTGTACCTAAGGCAGTGTTGGTCGTTGCATGAGATATCAGCTGCATGTCTCCACCCATTTCCGAATGTCTGGGGTCATGCCATTGGCTGGCTGAAGGTCAGATCCAGTTTTGGGCCCGTACCGTCGTAATACGGCGGCGAGACGGGCAGGCGTCGTTGTTCGATTCCCTGCGCCGCCCCTGGTGAGAAGCGGCGGCGCAGTGTGCGTGTCTGATTCGCTCGCCCAGATGAGGGGTGATGCTTTACGTTGACGCCGTTGTTTGATATCCGGGTGAATTTCGTGGTGGTTATTCCGGGCGATTCCCGAGGTGTTAGAGATGTTCCGGGCGTACTCCCGAGGTGGTAAGATATTCCGGGCGATTCCCGAGGTGTTACAGATGTTCCGGGCGTACTCCCGAGGTGGTAAGATATTCCGGGTGATTCCCGAGGTGTTAAAGATGTTCCGGGCGTACTCCCGAGGTGGTAAGATATTCCGGGCGATTCCCGAGGTGTTACAGGTGTTCCGGGCGTACTCCCGAGGTGGTAAGATATTCCGGGCGATTCCCGAGGTGTTACAGATGTTCCGGGCGTACTCCCGAGGTGGCAAGATATTCCGGGCGATTCCCGAGGTATTGAAGATGTTCCGGGCGTACTCCCGAGGTGGTTAGAGTTCCGTGACCCGCAATAGGTCACGACAAAGTGGTATCGCATGTAACGGGGCTGTATGGTGGTGCCATGATTAGCCGCATGGAGGGGGCTACTAATTTCTGGGATCCACTTCCGAAGTATGGTTGCTGTGTGAATGTGGTTATTACTAGCTCATCACGGAAGCTCCTAATTGCCTTCAGAGTAGGCCCACTCTGTAGTCAATTTTGGGCTATAGGCTGCTTCCAGGATGACCTGGATAATGAACGAGAGGTGCATGAATGTAATAATGTCAGTTGCGGAAGCCCAGAGATAATGATGCTAGCTGCCCATCCCGACCATTAAACACTTGCCAAAAAGTCAGTTAGCGTGTCCTCCGATCAACTCCTCTCCCTGTTTGGCTGTGAAAGGCCGTCAACACCCGGGTTTATCTTCGCCTCCAGCTCTGTGCGAGCCACCGCTTCGTCAAACCCGGGTGGACGACGAGGGTCGTTTGGGAACAAAGGACAGGACGGTGATGATGGGGATGGTGGGTGGGCAAACACTCCGCGCACCCCTTGTACACCGCGGCTCGGCTCACACTGCGCGTGTTATCGGCCGACCACGGCGGGGCCGCCGCGGTTCTGTTTGTTCTTCTCCACCCTTCTCGTTATCGCCCCCCCCCCTCCCCCTCCCCCTTCCCTGGACCCCACTGGCTCGGTGTCGCGTCGTGTCACGTCGGCCCGCTAATCACGATTCAACGTCCCGTTAATGCTTGATTAGCGTGTCCTCCGATCAACTCCTCTCCCTGTTTGGCTGTGAAAGGCCGTCAACACCCGGGTTTATCTTCGCCTCCAGCTCTGTGCGAGCCACCGCCAAACACCCCAAAGGAACCAAGGGTATGTGTATTCATACTAGATTATGCGCGCGTGTCCCGTTCACAGGGTTCACAGGCGGTACCTGTCAGCACGTGGGTTCCACGGCTCGGGTCCTGTAGGTACTCCGCCACACACGATGGGGG